CAGTGGCAACTTTCAGAAGTAGGTCTTTATTTCATTTTTACTTCGCATACAAATATACAACACTAAATTTGACAAAGACAATTAACATTTTCACCAAGGTCCAGCCCAAAATACACAAATTCTATAAAAATATTTTAAGACTCTGTTTAGATGTGGGACACTACAGTGTACATATAGTTGCCCCAGACACCAAGAGTTAAACCTGTGCCTACGAACCACTGGGATACATAAACCTGTGCCTACGAACCACTNAACAACACTAAATTTGACAAAGACAATTAACATTTTCACCAAGGACCAGCCCAAAATACACAAATTCTATAAAAATATTTTAAGACCCTGTTTAGATGTGGGACACTACAGTGTACATAAATCATAGTTGCCCCAGACACCAAGAGTTAAACTTGTGCCTAAGAACCACTGGGATACATAAACCTGTGCCTACGAACCACTGGGATACATAAACCTGTGCCTACGAACCACTGGGATAGAAACACTGTGCCTACGAACCACTGGGATACCTAAACCTGTGCCTACGAACCACTGGGATACCTAAACCTGTGCCTACGAACCACTGGGATACATAAACCGGTGCCTACGAACCACTGGGATACATAAACCTATGCCTACGAACCACTGGGATACATAAACCTGTGCGTACGAACCACTGGGATACATAAACCTGTGCCTACGAACAACTGGGATACATAAACCTGTGCCTACGAACCACTGGGATACATAAACCTGTGCCTACGAACCACTGGGATACATACCCCTGTGCCTACGAACCACTGGGATACAAACACTGTTGACTTTATAGTTGACTGGGGCTTTACTTTAAATCATTCACCCCTGAAATTTCATAATGAACTATTCCAACCTTTGAATTGGAAGAGTTCAAATGTGTTTCCACAGTTAAACTTGACACTGACCTTGCGTTTGGTGATTCCCTCCTTGGCGTTCTGTAGACTTTGTATACACGACTGCAGTGCTTCCTGAGACAGACCTTGGAATGTAGTCTTCTGTTAACACAAATGCAACTTAATGTAAATATACAAACAGGTAAACAAACATAACTTAATGTAAATATACAAACAGGTAAACAAACATAAGAAAACACTTGGGAACAGTAGGCAATTCTACATTAAGGGAGATAACTCTGCAACAAGAAAATAATTTATTTTTATTTTTGTAGACTCTTTAAACTGTATTACATGAAATGTTCTTGCGTATAAATATTCGTAATTTTCGTGGTTGCTAATGAACAACGAAAATAAATACAAACAAATTTCTATGATATACGTGTCTACTGTTTGTTAATATAGTATATCCATGAAACTTTGTACCACAAAACGCAAAACGATCTTAATGGCTTCATGAACATTTCGTGTTATACAGTATTTTAAATATGATTTTTTTTTTTTTTTTTTTTTATTAGATGAAGAGATGAGTGCATCTTTGAAATCAAAGGGTTCAAATCTCAATGTGCATATGTTCTTTTCACCCTTGGAACATGTGGTGACAAATTGGAGGTTATAGTTACCTATTTGATTGGTTTAAGGCACTGACCAACCAATAGGCTGATGCCTGTCCTTTGAAGATGACACTGGAGCAACACCTAACTTATACGCCAGTCAATTTTACCATTATGCTGCAGCACAATTCTATTGCTGTACATCAAAGGATCAAGGGCCCACTTGTATAAAACATCTCAACTCTTGAGATTTCCTCAAGTCTAAGATGTCCCATAGACAATACATTGCTTGAGATTTCCTCAAGTCTAAGATTTCCCATAGACAATACGTTGCTTGGGATTTTCCTTAACTTTGAGATGTTTTATACAAGTGGGCCAAGGTCTATTTCTACCATCCCAGAGATGGCCAGTACAGAACGTTCATTTCTGTCATGACTAATTCCAAGGGTGCGTATATGAAGAGAAGATACGAGTACCCAGAGCGAGACCCTTGAATTTCGAAGGTACGTGCTAAGTGGTGTTGTGTGTATATACTCACGTCTATACATCTGTAGAGTTTAGACAGGGTGACCAGTGTCCGGCGCACTGTCGGATACCACATACCATGGAGGTCCGCAGGAGATAGGGGCATCGACGTCCCTACAAAACCAAATACATCAAAAGCATGTTATATGTCACAAAGTACTGCTCTGGATTCTGCAGGGTGAAGCATCAGAAGATACATCTAGATAGATGTAGCATGTCATTGCTAACAAGTACTCCCCTTAACCCTCCAACCCTATGTCAACTTATATAAACTCTACCATTTCTTTTTCAGTGAAGGGATGGTGTACCAACTCAATTTGACTCTATTTCAAATGGGTTAACCTATTTTAACAATAATAGATGTCATATCAAGTAGTAACCCAAGATGCATAACCTGATTTGTTTGTGTTACGATCGCTATCACCATGACTCGTTTGCAGGAGATAGGAAAAGGTATGTTCACTTTTCAAACGGTAATCTATCTTGCTATTAACCCTTTTGACTCCTATCTAATTTTAATTTACCCTACCATGCATTGATCTGGATAAATCCATTATGGTAGACTACAGTGATGAAAGGATCAAAATGGTAAAAGGTGACTGACTACACTATTTCATCAAAACATTTCCATTCCTCATTTCTATTTCTTTTTCTTCCTTTTTTCTTCCGTGATATCTGTTGTTTGCCATTGAATAATTTCTACTGTTTAGTCCTTTACTAGTGTTGATGGTTCATCAATAAGTTACGAATCAATCATTCTACTAAACAGTGTTCTGTACCTACCTCGAGGTTACTATGGGTCCCTACACCACTAAACAGGGTTCTGTACCTACCCTAAGGGTGCTGTGGGTCCCTACACCCCTAAACAGTGTTCTGTACCTACCTCTAGGGTGCTGTGGGTCCCTTCACCACTAAACAGTGTTCTGTACCTGCCCTGAGGGTGCTGTGGGTCCCTACCCCACTAAACAGTGGTCTGTACCTACCCCGAGGGTGCTGTGGGTCCCTACACCCCTAAACAGTGTTCTGTACCTACCTCGAGGTTACTATGGGTCCCTACACCACTAACCAGTGTTCTGTACCCTGAGGGTGCTGTGGGTCCCTTCACCACGTAACAGTGGTATGTACCTTCCCTGAGGGTGCTGTTGGCCCCCAACTCCACTAAACAGTGTTCTGTACCTGCCTCGAGGTTACTATGGGTCCCTACACCACTAAACAGTGGTATGTACCTACCTTGAGGTTGCTATGGGTCCCTACACCTCTAAACAGTGTTATGTACCTCCCTCGAGGGTGCTGTGGGTCCCTACTACCTCGAGGTTACTATGGGTCCCTACTCCACTAAACAGGGTTCTGTACCTACCCTGAGGGTGCTGTGGGTGATCACCACGTAACAGTGTTCTGTACCTACCCTGAGGCTGCTATGGGTCCCTACATCACTAAACAGTGTTCTGTACCTACCTCGAAGGTGCTGTGGGTCCCTGGACCACGTAACAGTGTTCTTTACCTACCCTGAGGGTGCTGTGGGTGATCACCACGTAACAGTGTTCTGTACCTACCCTGAGGGCGCTGTGGGTCCCTACAACACTAAACAGCGTTCTGTACCTACCTCGAGGGTGCTATGGGTCCCTACACCACTAAACAGTGGTCTGTACCTACCTCGAGGGTGCTGGGGGTCCCTACACCACTAAACAGTGTACTGTACCTACCTCGAGGGTGCTGTGGGTCCCTACTACCTCGAGGTTAGTATGGGTCCCTACACCACTAAACAGTGTTCAGTACCTACCTTGAGGGTGCTGTGGGTCCCTACACCACTAACCAGGGTTCTGTACCTACCCTAAGGGTGCTGGGGGTCCCTACACCACTAAACAGTGTTATGTACCTACCCCGAGGGTGCTGTGGGTCCCTTCACCACGTAACAGTGGTATGTACCTTCCCTGAGGGTGCTGTTGGCCCCCAACTCCACTAAACAGTGTTCTGTACCTGCCCTGAGGGTGCTGTGGGTCCCTACATCACTAAACAGAGTTCTGTACCTACCCTGAGGGTGCTATGGGTCCCTACACCACTAAACCGTGGTATGTACCTACCCTGAGGGTGCTTTGGGCCCCCAACTCCACTAAACAGTGTTCTGTCCCTACCTCGAGGGTGCTGTGGGTCCCTACACCCCTAAACAGTGTTCTGTACCTACCTCTAGGGTGCTGTGGGTCCCTTCACCACGTAACAGTGTTCTGTACTTACCCTGAGGGTGCTGTGGGGCCCTACACCACTAAACAGTGGTATGTACCTACCCTGAGGGAGCTGTGGGTCCCTACACCACTAACCAGGGTTCTGTACCTACCCTAAGGGCGCTGTGGGTCCCTACACCACTAAACAGCGTTCTGTACCTACCCTGAGGGTGCTGTGGGGCCCTACACCACTAAACAGTGGTATGTACCTACCCTGAGGGTGCTGTGGCCACGCAACTCCACTAAACAGTGTTCTGTACCTACCTCTAGGGTGCTGTGGGTCCCTTCACCACGTAACAGTGGTATGTCACTCCCCTGAGGGTGCTGTGGGCCCCCAACTCCACTATACAGTGTTCTGTACCTACCTCGCGGGGGCTGTGGGTCCCTACTACCTCGAGGTTACTATGGGTCCCTACACCACTAAACAGTGGTATGTACCTACCTTGAGGTTGCTATGGGTCCCTACACCCCTAAACAGTGGTATGTACCTACCCTGAGGGGGCTGTGGGTCCCTACACCACTAAACTGTGTTATGTACCTACCCTGAGGTTGCTATGGGTCCTTACACCACTAAACAGTGTTCTGTACCCTGAGGGTGCTGTGGGTCCCTACAACACTAAACAGCGTTCTGTACCTACCTCGAGGGTGCTATGGGTCCCTACACCACTAAACCGTGGTATGTACCTACCCTGAGGGTGCTTTGGGCCCCCAACTCCACTAAACAGTGTTCTGTCCCTACCTCGAGGGTGCTGTGGGTCCCTTGACCGCGTAACAGTGTTCTGTACCTACCCTGAGCTTGCTATGGGTCCCTACACCACTAAATATCTGTTGTTTGCCATTGAATAATTTCTACTGTTTCGTCCTTTACTAGTGTTGATGGTTCATCAATAAGTTACGAATCAATCATTCTACTAAACAGTTTTCTGTACCTACCTCGAGGGTGCTGTGGGTCCCTACACCCCTAAACAGTGTTCTGTACCTACCTCGAGGGTGCTGTGGGTCCCTTCACCACGTAACAGTGGTATGTACCTACCCTGAGGGTGCTGTGGGCCCCCAACTCCACTAAACAGTGTTCTGTACCTACCCTGAGGGTGCTGTGGGTCCCCAACTCCTGCTACGACAGGTGGCCCCATTTCTTGTTGTTCCCCGTCCGCCTACACCACTAAACAGTGTTCTGTACCTACCCTGAGGTTGCTATGGGTCCCTACACCACTAAACAGTGTTCTGTATCTACCCTGAGGGTGCTGTGGGTCCCCAACCCCACTAAACAGTGTTCTGTACCTACCACGAGGGTGCTGTGGGTCCCCAACTCCTGCTACGACAGGTGGCCCCATTTCTTGTTGTTCCCCGTCCGTGATCTGAGCTACCTCCAGACTGGTGTTGGAGACATTAGAAAGTGACCTTTTGTGACCTTCACCTGTCGAGGACATAGAGGATGACCTTGACCTTTCCTTGGTATTCTGGCTGTTTTTAATGCCTTCTGCTATACTCTGAAAAAAATATTGAAGTTGTCATAGAAATATTTTGAATTGGAAGAGTTCAAATGTGTCTTTTAAAACTGTATGAGAACACAGTGATATCGTACGAACACAACTATGATAGACTGAGATGTCAAGGAGTATTTTATTGAAGTGATAATTAGGAAAATATATGTGGTGCCATAACCTTTAACTCATCCACCCCTGAAGACACATTTGAACTCTTCCAATTCTAAGGTTGGAATAGTTCAGACACCCAACCATAGCAGTTAAAGATCCCTGTCCCACTCCACTGCAAAGGTACTTCCATTGAGTTGGTTAGAGCTATGGTATAATGATCGGAGATTTGTGGGTTTCAAATCCTGGTTTGTTTAAATTACATTTTTACACCAATAATACTGCAATAGATTATTTTTTGTATATCTTACCTGGTTTTTTCCTGTCAGAATTTCTGTAAGCTATAGTCATGATGGATAAAAAAGTGTTCTAACGCATAGTTAAAGTTTCTGCTGGTGGGAGGTGGATCCTTAAAACAGCAACACGCTGAATGGTACCTACCTCCATCATCTCCAGCTTCTCTGGGTAGGCCAGGTCCCCTTGGGCAGCTTTATAGTTCAGGATGTCAGCCTTGATACAAATGTACGTCCTGTAAACAAGTCGCTCCTGCACATCCATCAGCATCTGTTTACAAATCATCTCGAATGCCACCAGCCCGTTGGCTGCAAAAAGATTCATGTGGAAGGTCATTTTGGTTACTGAGTAGAAGTTGTTTAAAGTTTTTAACATATTTGAACCCTGTGACCTTAAAAATGGGTGAAGGTCATTTATTTAAACAAACTTTGTAGCCCTTCATCCTAGTTTGCTTCTGCCCATATATCATCACCCTGGGCCATTTTAGTTATCGAGAAGAAGTTGTTTAAAGTTTTTAACATATTTGACCCCTGTGACCTTGAATATAAATGAAGGTCATTCATTTGGCCAAACTTGGTAGCCATTCACCCAAGCATGCTACTGGTCAAACATCATTTCCCTGTGCATTTTGGTTATTCAGAAGAAGTTGTTGAAAGTTTTTAACATATTTGACCACTGTGACATTGAAAATAGGTGAAGGTCATTTATTTGAACAAACTTTGTAGCCCTTCATCCCAGTTTGCTTCTGGCCAAATATCATCACCCTAGGCCTTTTGGTTAATCAGAAGAAGTTGTTTAAAGCAAAATATAGACGCGCTACGGCATAAGCTCACTTGGCCCTTCGGGCCAGGCGAGCTAAAAAACACATCATGCTTAAGATAATATTATGGTTTGGCTCATCTTCGCTAGCCATGGGTTACGATCCAGGTCTGATCCGGTCCACCTAGTCTCCAAGAAGAGTACATAGATCATACCAGATTGTAATCCTTGGCAGCTAGCGAAGATGGGTTTCGCTATGAAACCAAACAATTGATACAAATTAAAGATTGGAGATAATTAAAACATTCTTATAGAATACTCTTTGTGTAAGATTCTCAATTATTGTTTTTTTTTTTATTTATTTTAATTGACAGCTGATAATAATGCACTGGTGAAAATGGCTAGCTCCTCAATTCCTATACTTTTACATTCATGAAATCAACATGTATCTTGAGAATGACCCATTATCTGTATTAAGGATCCCTGGCCCAATGCTATCAAAACACTAGAAAGTTCCGCTGTAGATATTCATACATACACTGACTTCCCCTTAATTTCCTTTTGACTATAACTTGCATTAAGGATCCCTGGCCCACTGCTATCAAATCACTAGAGAGTTCCACTGTAGATATTCATACATACACTGACCTCCCCTTAATTTCCTTTTGGCTATAACTTTTGAAGGTCACTGGGCCAAGAAACCTGTCACTGTCCTGTCCTGGAAGCTCAGTGGGTTAAAGTGACTGTATCATGATCAGAGGTCCAGAGTTTGAATTCTTGACCCGTATTCATGAAACCGTTCTCATGCTCAAGCATTGATTTTGTGCTCAAGTCAAATTTCTTGTGCCCATTATAAATTAATTAAAAAAAAAAAAAATGTCAATGGTTTGGAAAATTATTGAGAAGACTTTTAGCCAAATTCTGTTTTCAATGTTTACAGTTGACTTTTTGATCGTTTGACATGACTTAAGCGAGCTAAAAGAAAGTTGGTTTTAGCACAGAATCCATGCATGGCCATGAGATCGGTTTCATGAATATGGGCCCTCGTCTTGCCTATTGTTATAAAAACTCAGACAACTGTTGTTGATTTTTGTTTGTTCATTTCATCTTTTTTATGTTTTCATAGAAAGTTCTACATTGGTTTCTTTTCAGAATTGGTATATTGAATCGATTGTCATGTCGATAAAAGATATATCCAATTCATAATACAATATTTGGCAGTGATGAGGGGATCCTTGAGTAGAGTTTCCACGAGTAGGTCCACGAGTAGGTCTATAAGTAGGTCTATAAGTAGGTCCACAAGTAGGTCTATAAGTAGGTCCACGAGTAGGTCCACGAGTAGGTCTATAAGTAGGTCCACGAGAAGGTCTATAAGTAGGTCTTTATATACAACTAAACACGCAAGAACAGTTTAACCTGTTTATTACTACATTTATAATACATACAAGCTACAAGTTTGGCGTATCAGGGGCTTCTCACTCTATACCAAAACGATTAAACTTACTAATAGGATATTTAAAATTTTTAAGAAGCTGGACTCTGAGTTGTCCCAGAGTAGCTAGCTACTTGATCGAGCAAGACTCCAAAGATACAGAGAAGCAACTAGACCCTGGACGATTCCAGAGAAGCTACTAGACTTTGCGAGCGACCCTGGGGAAGCTGCATGAGAAATGGAATATTCAACGACTACGGCTAGACCCTCAACGATATGAGAGAAGCTGAATATGTTAGCTAGACCCTCAACGATATGAGAGAAGCTGAAACATACTGTCGTAAAATACTACATGTATGCGATTAGGCCCGTAACGGGAATAGCCATGGAGCAAAGTCCGTCGTCTATGAATGCGCAACAAACTCCTTCAATGATTCAGAAAACTATGCTGTGGGGGCTCCAAATCCCTAACAGGGCATTCCCTCAGGCAGACGCTGATTGGTCAATCAGCAGCATCCCTCTCCTCTCATTAACATACATGCTAATTGGCAATTACATAATACACACAACTTACATTACAGAAAACATAGGCAGCAAGGCAAACTCATTGTATATAAACTATAGTTTAATATTAAAATATCAAACTATCATTATAAGTAGGTCTATAAGTAGGTCCACGAGTAGGTCCACGAGTAGGTCCACGAGTAGGTATATAAGTAGGTCCACGAGAAGGTCTATAAGTAGGTCTATAAGTAGGTCTATAAGTAGGTCCACGAGTAGGTCTATAAGTAGGTCTATTATAAGAGGACGTTATGCTTACCATTATTCTGTACGTGTTCCTCCAGCATCTCTATCTTGAGGATGGAACACAGCTCTGACAGTGTTTCCAAGTGGTTGATGTGGATGATGAGCGGTCGGAACATGTCATACAGACTGTTACACAGGTGTTCCAACATTTCACTGCGAAAACATAAACATTTGTTCGACTGATCTACACCTTCATGAAACTGTTGAAGAATAATCAAATCTACTACAGTGTGCCTGTAACTGGCTCTGGCTAAGATTCTGTAACATCCCAACCTTGGCTTTTGCATCAGGATAATGTTACAGAATGTTAGCCCTCCACCGAGCTGATCAAATCTTGCTCAGTTACAGGTGCCAAACTAATACAGGTATTTGTCTTCTTCGTATGGATTGAGCGTTTGGCAACTTAAAAATCTTTCCCCGAGGGTTGAGATTCCCCTATCACACCCACAATGGGTTGAATGATCCTTTTTCTCTTACCCTGTTCACCCATTGTGTATCATTTACATAATGTAATGTATTGTATCATTGTATCATTGACGTGACATCACACAAATGTTATAAATAGTAGAATTCCCTGTCTTAATTTAACCCTAGAGTAACGCAAGGATATCTCACACCGAGAAAAATGTGGATATACCTGTTCAGGGTAAACCAGATCTCACTCAGTTACAGGTAAAAACACAGGTAATAGATTTTAATATTTTTGGGAGAATATCTGAAGATCTCACTTGTAGACAGTGAAAACAGTCTAAACACAGTGATGTTAACTGTGTGCCTAACTGATCTTATGTGATAAATTTCCAAATGACGTTACTTGTATGAAATGAGAAAACAGTTCAAACTTGGGGCCAAAAAACATCTTATAGTCTCTACAACTTCCATGAATTCTGAGGTTTTTCTTTAGAATATAAACTCCTTAAACTTACTCTAGCTGGGAGGTTGGTTTGGAGAAGAAGTTGAAGTAGAGTTGGTGTTCATCCTCACATACATGGACCATAAACGCACATCCACTTCTCATCTGGAGGGATAAAAATAATGTTGTTAGGGTCAGCTGTACATTTAACAATCCTGTCAGTTGTACAAATTATTGAGTCTGTTGTATAAAACAACAATTATATCAGTTGTACAAATAATATTCAGTTGTACAAAACAACAACCATTACAGTTGTAAAAAAATAAATTTCAGTAGCTCAAATAACTAGAAAATGTCTTTATTAAAGACAAAAATGTCCCCCCCCCCCACCCCCCCGTTTCCGAAGTCGGTAAAATAATGACAATGAATTTGTTGACAAAATATCAATGGTTGGTTTAAAAGTAGCAACAGTGACATCCAAAGTATCCTCACATTCAACCTTTCTTCATACTTTGATAAAATATGTTGCGAAATGAAATCAATAGAGCCCTGACAATGAACCACTAGAGGGCTAGATACAACAGGACGCTGGAGGATGGTTGGAAGGCACAGCGGATAGGGCACTCACATTTCACCAAGACAACCAGGGTTTGATTCCCGATCAGATGCGAATATGCAGGGGTCATCTGCCCGACCACGTGGGTTTTCTCCAGGTACTTTGGTTTCCTCCCACATGAAGACCCTCGCACATCATAAGGGCAAACAAGAGTGATTGGTTACCAAGTTGAAGATTGTTTGACAGGTCCAGTACATACTTACCAGAGCACAGTGGTAGCAGGCATGTTTGGTAACCATTGGTTACCAAGTTGAAGATTGTTTAACAGGTCCAGTACATACTTACCAGAGCACAGTGGTAGCGGGCGTGTTTGGTAATCATTGGTAACCAAGTTGAAGATTGTTTAATAGGGCCGCTACATTCTTTCCAGAGAAGTGGTCGCATGCATGTTTTTAGACCAGGTTGAAGATTGTTTAACAGGCCCATTTAGTACATACATACCAAAGCACAGTGGTCGCGGGCGTGTTTGGTGGTGAAGTTGAGGATTGTTTCATGCACAGACACAGCCAGTTTATACATACCAGAGCACAGTGGTCGCGGGCGTGTTTGGTGGCCAGATCAGTTACAGTGGATGACACACTCGGTCCCAGTAGAACTTCCCTCTGTTGAAAGTAACACTGGTGACAGTCGGCCAGTATCTGTACATACCTGTTAATCAGATGTATTTATAACACAAGTAAAAACCTTAGTGTAGCCAAGATGTACCAAAATTTGACTACCATTTATTCTGTGGCTATTTATCTACATCTGACCAGAAAATGTGTGGCCTTATATTACAAGAGCTGTTAGAGAACAGCATTGCTAACCTATTGGTAGTATATGTTATTTATACAAGATAGCAAATAGTAATAGAAACACATGCAGAGTAACACCTCAATATAGTGCCCCCTGCCCATCGTTTCATTTCATGAAAATATGGTTGAGCACATCGCTTACACTCCATATAAGTGCCTCAACCTTATAAAAGACAACAGCCTATTGATGGTGGTGATCCAACAATGAACAAGAGAAACTTGCCTAAACAAGAGGCCCATGGGCCTTAACGGTCACCTGAGTCTACAGTAGTTATTTTTGTTGTTGAAATATGTACCAATTTGAGTAAAAAATAGTATAATGTTAACTTAACTTTGTCAGGACCATGAGCTGATCATTCCTACCAACTTTCAGTTCAATCGGCCCAGCAGAACTTGACTTTAAGTTGGAAATGTAAAATGTTAACGGACGTCGGACGAAAACGGATAGCAATAGGTCCCTTGAGCTAAAGCTCAGGTGACCTAAAAATTAAACCAAGTCCAATTAAGCTGTATTTGGCCCCTAAGATATGACAATAAAATTCAGCACATTGCTTACACTTCATATACCATATGAGATGAGAAAATGTATATTTTGTGATGTTTTAGAAGACGAGTATCATTTTATTATTGAATGTAATCAGTTTTCTGAGGTAAGGACACCGTTCATTCCAAGAAGATACTATACTAGGGAAAGATTTGTGGATTTAACTACATCATCTAATGTTGCAATTGTTAGAAATCTAGCAATTTATGTTTTCAAGGCAAACGAGATCAGAAATAACATTCTTTTTAATAATTAACTCTGGGCGACTGGGTATTTATTCTGTACGTGTTTCTGGTAACTTTATCCTACATTCTGTATTTTTGTTACGCACATACTCAATTCGTTAAATATTTATTTGATTTCCAAGCCAAGTGTATACATTTAACCACTGTGTAGCATTGGTTAATGGCATCGAGAGTTATCTCCCATTGATCACATATGTAACACAACTGTTTTTAGGTACAAACTTTTAACATTATACAAACAATATGTACTTTCTCTATTGCTATGAAACACGTGGTAATAGATATCTGGTTGCCTAAATATGGGTAGATTGAAAACAAGTCCTCGTACCTGTCGCTGCATGTATGTGTATTATACCAATTACAAATATATTTCTTTGTCCATGTTCATGTTCCACTCCACCTGTACCACCTATGTGGATTGTTATTATGTAATGCACAAAGGCATTTTTGCCTATTGCTTAATAAAAAAAATATATATATTTAAATGCCACAACCTTATAATAGACAACAGCCTATTGATGGTGGTGATCCAACACTGAACAAGAAAAACTTGCCTAAAAAATTAAACCAAGTCCAATTAAGCTGTATTTGGCACCTAAGATATGACAATAAAGTTCAGCACATTGCTTACACTTCATATAAGTGCCTCAACCTTATAATAAATAACAGTGTATGGAGGGTGATGATCCAACACTGTCTGGAAAAACCTTGTCCAAAAACTTAAACCCGAAGTGGAACACCATCGCCGATGGAACTACATTTAATCTACGAATAGGCGAGCTAAAAAAGTTACATATTGTGTTTGTAGAATCCAGTGCCTGAATGGCAAAAAATGTAATAAACTGTCTTCATTGGACCCAAGTACCATAAGATCTATTACAGATATTCACTCCGGAACTTACTCGGGACTTTTATCAACTCGCTGCTCCAGTTCTTCCATCAATGATTTGACACGAGGAGCATTGGCGCGAAACTTTCCGTAGAACAGTGTGAAGGCGTTGTCACCAACATTGAGAGTATCCTGTAAACGGGTCATATTGTTACAATATATATATTTATGCAACTGTATAAACAGATTGTAAAAAAACATATCTAAGAATTTCAAGCTCATAAATCTCAGTCGATTGAAAAATAAGTTTTTACACATAAAAATACTGTAACAGCGAAAATTATCGCGGATTGAAGTGTCCACATTTTTCGGATCGAAAACAACTATCCTGAAAATATCCAAACAGAAATATTTAAGAAATAATCAACATATGTGCATGCATTTAATATGGTGGAGTGAAAATATTGTTTGAAACAAGCTATTTGGATCGATATGTCTCCTCTGTGCCCCGTTTTGAGCATCAATGCACATATCAGAGAAACTAACTTAAACGCAAAAATTTCATGTTGATGGAGATGCTGACAAAGTCAATGAACCATGAAAGGTAGGCGGCATCCAGCATTTGATGCATGGGTTAAGATGTACTACCTAAGATGCATCTATGTTCCAGGTTTGGTTGGTCTAGCTTTCAGTGAAACTAAGTTAAACACCAAAACTTAATGTTGATGCGGTCGCCGCTGTTGACCAAAGTCTTGCTTCCGCTGTTTTGTGGCGGCGAGACAAAAAATAAGATGCAAATGTCACTTGCAGCCTGAGCTATTATTTTTCACACATTTACCGATCCCAAGTTATATTTTCCACCACAATATACAAACATATATTGATCCCATCTATTCTATCTAGTAAAATGTAATGAAAGTATCTTTTGCATCTGCCTCAGTGAATAAACAATGCAAGGTGACCTCAATAATCTAATTATTCAAATCAGGCTGTTCCTTTAATTTGTGCATGCAAATATTTGTCCAGATAGCATAAAACCTTAAATCTTAGCAAATCAAAGGCATAATATGTGAGGTAGTATACATCCTTAACTCACAACACAAATCACAAGTGTATTGTGTAAAGAAGTATAAATCCTTAAATCTAACGCAAATCATATGTATAATGTGTAATGAAGCAAATTATCCCGATTCTATCATAAAATCACAGGTATAATGTGAAATGAAGTATATCCCTTTCACCACTGTAGACTAGAATGGGCATGCACACATCCAGATCAATGCATGGTAGAGTCTACTAAAGCTACATAGGGATGAAGGGGATATTACCCAGCAAGGTGACCTCAACCTCATGTGTAAGGTAGCATAAATCCTTAATTCAAACATAAATCAAAGGAATAATGTATAAGGTAGCATTCAAGTCAGTTCTTTTATTCGTAGAGAAGCACATCTGAAATAAATGACTACAAATAAATAATTTCAAATGTCACGAAAATCCATGTGAAATGCACTCGAAACGTTATTCGGCTATTCATACTTGGAAGAAACAATGTACCAATAATTTTAGTTCAATATTTTCTCCTTTGTTTTACACAAGACAACCTAGGTACTGGTTCTTCTGACCCTATGACCTTAACCTATATTACTGACCTTACTGGGTTGAACTTGCTGCGTAGCTGTTTGTAATATGTGTACCACATGACCTTTGATCAGGTTTAAAGCCCGAGCGAGGCAGTGTCTGAACTTTGCCAGGTAAACTGAAGATTCTTTACAGCGTGCCTGAAAATATAACACAGAGTTAGAATAATTGTCCAACTAAAAATAATTTTAAACTCCATAGAGTATACCATGTCAATTTTTGTAAACAATAACTATCTTGTTATAATAATAAGAATTCAAGGTTCTTGTATACCTAGCTCGTAGGTTGTCTTCAAGCAGTTTTCAAATTATTATCCGCGGTTATAGGGCCTTTGCCACCAGCCAATATCTTTCTCAACTCTCTTGGGAGCATACAGACAGTGCTGCTATTACGGCGTTCATAGCTAGCATTCAACAATTCTAGCACTGCCCAACCACATACTCACTTACAGCTGAGTAGACTGGAACAAGCGGAGTAAAACATCTTGACTTGAACCCGCAACCCTTTGGTCACAGTATCTTAATATTGAGGGTAATTAATTATATGTAGTATTTTCTACTTACATTATTAGATACATACAGTATTTTCTACTTACATTATTAGATACATACAGTATGCACTCGTCTAAGCGGGACAACATTGGGACAAAGGATTCATTGGTGACAGCCAGAGTGGAAGAATCAAGTTTCTGAAACAAGGAAAAGAAAGTTATACAAAAAATGGTCTGAAGATCACACCGACAGATACATTAAAAAATACATGATTCTTCGTTATTTCATTTTTAATACACTCAAACATCATCCAACAAGAGTGATTCATATAAGTTAAAATACATTGTAACTTGTTCATAATTGTTGTAAAATAAATACAGTTAAATATTTTACTTTGATTTACGGTAAACCTCTGGTCAGTTCGAATAGGCGGCCTTCATACTTGTCTCTGCTTTGCAATTTAACTTAATAATTGATTATCAATATGTAAGTAAATATAAGAAAGATATATATACCATTATTCATCTCCAGATTTGCAAATATATATCGCAATAAGGCCGTCGTTATTCCGTATCAATGACTTGACTGTTGGCCGTGATTTTTGCCGATGTCAACTTGGATAGTTCGAACTACGCTTTATTTAAGTGGCTATAAATTTGAAAAGGATTGACAATATTTATTTTATCTTATTCGAACTGACCTAAGGTTTACCATATTAGTTGTAATTTTGAATGTTTTCTTAATAGCGAAAGGGTCTTGTTTATACTTAGAAACAGCGAGAATTTTTTTTCATGAAAATTTTATCCATGAATTGAATATAAGTAGTAATATATAAGGGAGGAAAATATGGCCTTTGCTGTAAGTTCGACACATCGAGAAATTGTAATCTTCGAAGTTCGATTTATGGAAGTTTGACTATCTTTTATTTTATTTTTAAAGTAAGAATTTCTAAATCAAATATATAAATGTGTAAGTGTTCAGAGATATCTCTAATGCACTAGGTTTATTGTTTGCAGAACAGATGTTAGCTATGATTTTAACCAGAAAAATACCATACAGCTACTGATAGCCGGCTTTCAGATTGAACAGGTATGTGACGAAATGATCAACTTAAGGAATGTATAATCCCCTGGCCTCTGTACAAATTAGATTCTCAAAACGCTTAATCATTGTGTTTATCCCAAATAAGGTCAATACATCAGTGATTATATACAGGTGTCACATACAAGAGACGGTGTTCTCGTTAAGGATCCACGCCCCACTGCACTGTGGTTTGTCACATATGCAGTAACCTCCCCTTAATTTCGTTTAGGCTACAACTGTAGCACTGTTGGTCCAGCACACTTCTCTTGACTAGAAAGCTCAGTTGGTTAGAGTGACAGTTTGAAAATTAGAGGTTCAGGGTTCGAATCCTGGTTTAGCCATGCTGACATTTTACACAGAATACTATTGTTCATTTTACTATTTTTATTTTGTCTCTATTATTTTTCACAAAAATCCAGCGAGGTATACTTTTCTTTTCAGGAATAGTATATCAAAACTAAAGTCATACTGGAAAAAATAAGTTTAAAATGCATATGATAGCTTCAGGTTTTGGTAGTGGTATGGGGATCTTCAAAGTAGCCTGCAACAGCTGAACCAGCAATTTTGTTCAGAAAATGTATGGGTCAATTGCAACACAATAGCATGTTGACATTCAACCGACTATTCATAACTCATTCAACCCTGAATTTTCATAATGAACTATTCCAACCTTAGAATTGGAAGAGTTCAAATGTGTCTTCAGGGGTGAATGAGGTAAGTCAAAACACAGTGATATTATGCTAACACAACTATGATAGACTGAGGTGTCAAGGAGTATTTTAGTGAAGTGATAATTAGGAAAATATGTGTGGTGCCATAACCTTTAATTACTCATTCACCCCTGAAGTTTCATAATGAACTCTTCTAATTCTAAGGTTGGAATAGTTCATTATGAAACTTCAGGGGTGAATGAGTTCCTACAAACTTGTCCCTCAGTTTTGATTTTAGCTTAGCTCTCACAAAGATTACATGAGAAACACCCCTCTGATGGGAGGGTTTATCCTTATCTAACATTTTAGAACTGCTCACACGCCTATTGACTTATACTCTATTGACCATTTAATCATGCTTAATATTCTTTCTATTACAATCCCCATTCCTTAAAGAGACAGAACAATAACCTTAGAGTTTTGCTTGTTGTAGCACTTTTGATACCTTTAGTTTTATGTTACTAACCCTTATTTCTGTTCCTTTAATCATCTCTTGCATTGTAAATACTGTAATACTATAACTCATATATTCACATTTACTATGATACTTTTATATAATCTTTCAGTGCATCACACTGAAAATTTTTAGCACTTATTCTATTATGCACCAATCAAAAATGGCTGAACCTTTTCACCCTTTCAGGCTTTAACTCCTAACATGTTGTTGATGTCACAATTGTTATTTATTGTTCTAGTCACATGACCTTTACTGCCATTGTACCATAGTTGCAAACATCACGTAACTGTGCTCTGAAGACGGCCTCCCTTTGGCCGAAACATGTCAGCGTGTAGGATGTAAATCAAACATTACATTTTGTAATGGATTCAGTGGTGTTGAATCCTCAAAATTGAAGGCACGAAAATAGCTGTTTGATTGGTCTCAGGTAAAAAAAGACCTGACCAATCGCTAGGCCGATACCTGTCCTTTAAAGATTACAAAAGAGAGACACCCGACTTCAAAGCCTGTCAATGTTTACCGTTACGTGACCACGAAATTCTCTTGATGTACATCAAAGGATCGAACTAGTCTTCTTGTCTCATCAACAAGGTGGCGCACACTGAGCCTTCAATTTTGCTATGACATATTCCAGGGGTGTAGAGAGCGAAAGTGAGCGTAACCCCTGGATACCGAGGATGGTGGTGTTGTTGCTCATCATTTCTTTTTTCATTTGTTACAACTAAGATCATTTAGAGTCCCTTATTTGTAAATACAGCTAACAATTGATTTCGGTGAAAAAACTGATGTCACTTACTGAAGATATTCGGTCCAGCTCATTGAAGTAAGACAATTTATTACTGATGTTTTCTGCAGTGTTGATGAGTCGTGTCTGCAAAAACAAATGCCAACACATGGATTATGTACACAATACAGCTTATTATAGGCCCTCCTAGTAATTACAATGTACAGTTTCTTTTGGGGTAGTTAAGGGGACAAACAGATAGCCCTTAATACTATACCGCATATTAAACTTACTTTAGGCGAGCTAAAATGGAAAAATCTTGACGAGTTTCAAAAGTTTCATATGAAATGAAAACGAATGTAAGATCCTTTTTATCACATAGGGGTAATCAAGATTTGTGGCATTTATTTGTGTAAAACGACAATTTTCATGCAACCTTGAAATGTAAAAAGCCGCCATTTTTGTCTCATGTGCGTAAGTGTGCGACGTCATATACTTGTCCTAGGTGTGACGTCACAATTGAAACTTACAACCAATCACAGGGCTGAAAGGTCATATTACATGGGTTAATACACAAACAAATATGACATGGGTATATTCACTGGATAGCACAGTACATTATGTGATAAATTATGATATGTCTCAGTCTTGCATTGTAATAAATAGGAATCAGTAATTAAGTGTAGATCAGGTTATCATTTTGCATCACACATACTGTACCTACAATACTGACTGATTCGTCATGATTTTCTCTGATCGTTCATGGTTCAACCACGACATGAAACATTTCAACAGTAATTGAAATATGGAGTAAACCTGATAGTTAAAATACTGATAGTTTTTACCATTAATTGCATTGAAAAGCACTTCTGCATGTAGCTAGTTATGAAAACAAATTACTGCAGTTTATCAACTTCGATAAATGCTTTCCTATTTATTTTCCTTTCTCGGTATATGATCCTTCATCTTTCATTTGAGAAAACCTGCTAGGTGATCCTAAATTTTGAAGCAATATGTGCCCAACACTTCTAGAATAATAGTTCATGTTTTCTCTCAATCCATTCACAAGTTTCTTTAGGATAGAATGTCTGATACCTGTTCCGCGAGCAGATGTTCGCAGGCATCATGGAGGGCATTTGTCTTTGTGGAGACGTGGATATAGTGGGCCTGAAGACTAGTGAGGTAGTCTAAGGCAGTGCCCACTTCTTCAAGGACTTGGTCACATTGTTTCTGGTACTCTCTCAGCTCCTCTATGTAACGTCTACAAGTAAATTAATTTATTAACATTATATAGTTATATAAGCAGTAGAGCTGCAACGATTTATTGTGATATTTTATATATGGTACAGTACACAATTTTATCGAGAGGTCACACTGCATCTACAATATTTACACTATATGGTTATGTTAGTCGTAGGGCTGCAACTATATACATGTGTATTGTGATATTTTATATAAGGTACGGAACCCAATATTTTTTGGAGATCACGATACACCTACCATATTTTCCAGATTTTGTCGTTTCTGCATTTCGTCGACTCATATCCTTTCCCACATGGCGAGTGACAGCTTCAGCTTGGCTAGCTGCGGGAACCGTAGCTTCTATGTCCGATTTTGTTTGTTTGTTATCGGACCATAGTCGTCCGATAACAATAAAAAAAGAACAAGAGGCCCAATGGGCCTGCATCGCTCACCTGGTATAAAACTCATGCTTGTAACCTTAAAAGTGATCTAAAATAAAGCTACAGGCAAAATATCAGTATTTATGATTAAAATTCGTTCAAAAGACCCTGTTATTTTTTTTTTAAACATTTCACCCCTGTGATTGAAAGTCGAACAAAGTCATTATGTTGAACACATTGTATAGGCTTTCATCTCAGGATGCAACTTGCAAAGTATAAACATCCTGGGACCCATGGTTATTCATAAGAGGTTGTTTAAAGATTTTAAACAAATTTGACCCCTGTGACCTTGAATATAANCAGAAGAAGTTATTTAAAGGTTTTTTAAGACAATTGACCCCTGTGACCTTGAATATAATTGAAGGTCATTCATTTGAACAAACTTGGTAGCCCTTCACCCTAGCATGCTACTGACCAAATATCATCTCCCTGGGCAGTTTGGTTATTGAGAAGAAGTTGTTTAAAGTTTTTAACATATTTGACCCCTGTGACCTTGAAAATAGATGAAGGTCATTTATTTGAACAAACTTGGTAGCCCTTCATCCCAGTTTGCTTCTGGCCAAATATCATCACCCTAGACCTTTCGGTTATTAAGAAGAAGTCGTTTAAAGTAAAATATTGACGCCGGACGACGGACGGACGACGGACGCCGCACCACGGCATAAGCTCACTTGGCACTTCGTGCCAGGTGAGCTAAAAATCGGACATAGAAGCTACGGTTCCCGCAGCTAGCTTGGCATGCACATCGAAAGACGTGAATTGTGTATTTTAAAAGTCATGCTCATTTTGGACAAAATCTGTTTCCTGTTGTAACTTTTCATTGAAAAATTTGCACCATATCTTTTCCCTTTGCTTCTTCTCTTACTACACGTATCCCAATACATATTGCATTATGACCACAGTATTGTGATACGTATCATATCGTCATGTTAATGCATCGGTGCAGCCCTAGTTATAATTAGTAGTATTAAGTGTCTGCGAGTACTCAGCTTTTTCTCACTATTTTTGGAAATTGGGCCCAAGGCAGGCTTTGGAAATTGAGAATTAAGTTTTGTAGCGACCAATTTGGGATTTTTCTAAATTATGCCAAAATATTACTGATTTTGTATCAAAAAGACTAAAACATTCTTATTTATGATAAACATCCTTATCTATGATTTTTTTCTCCCTTTTAGATGTTGCTGCTGCACCGTCATCTGAATGACAAACTGAGAATTAATTTCTTTAGAAATAAACACTGCTCCCAGCTAGCCATTTTTTTTTTAGAAAGTTATCAAATATGTGTTTTTCTGTACTGGGATTCCATTTGTTTGGAATTTAACAAACAACATGAAAATATTTATTTTTAAGCAAATATTATCAAAAATGTTTATCGTTAAATTTCCACAGCATAGGCTATTGATGGACAAGAAAAGTCTGGTTTGGTTTGTTTGTGTTTCAGTCCTATTAACAGCTGTGATCATTTAAGGACATGTTCTAGGTTTTGATGGTGGGGGAAAACCAGAGTACCCAGAGAAAAACCGCCGACCTGCGGCCAGTACCTAGCGACTTTCCCACAAAGACAGCGAACTCGCGACCAAGTGGTGGAGGATTACTAGGCTAGTGATCGTAAATGGTCAGAGGTCTTAACAACTCGGCCACTGCGGCCCCTGTATATTATCTATGGATCTCAAAATTAAATTCCAATTCAATATGAATTTAATGTTTCTTACCTATAAGTTATCTCTTCATCTCTCTCAATATCTTCTTCCACAGTGGAAAACCAGGAGAAAAACTGAAACATTATCAACAACAATGCATGTATATGGTAAATGATTATCAACCAAGGAAACATTAATAAAGTTACAATCATCTGATGTATGTGTTGTGTGATATTTTTACAATCTAACAAAGTTAGTCCATACAGATTCATTCTCAAACAGAAGATATATTAAAAAGGCAAATGTCTTGCTAAATTCAAATTGAAGAGAACACATCAAAATAAATGCATATATAGTAGATTTTTTTTCTGCAGTGTAATTTTCATTGTAAGACTGAACCATTAAATTCTGGCCATCCATGCTTTTTGCTTGGAAACATCAAAAATAAACGAATCCGAGAAAAGTATGCTTAAAACAGATGGTATTAACTGTACGGAAACAAAAGTTTAACGGACAGACCAAAGCTATACCATTATCCTAGTTTTGTTTTGTTTACAGCTCAAAATATATATTTATTTTACTAGAAAATTAATCTTAACAGCAGATGTTCTAAATATTTGAGTCACAAATGAAAAATTCCTATAAAAAATCTTTCGAGCACCTTAATTTTTGGATACCAGGTAGGATTTTACCAGTATTCTTTTTACCATTACCTGTTGAGCTGTGTCAATTGTATCGGTGTCACTGGACAGAGTGAAACCCTTTGTTTCCTGGGAGTCACTGTTCAGCTGGGAGGGAGGAGTTTTAGACATTGCCAATGGAACTTCATCCTCTGGAAGCTGATAATATAAACAAACAAAAATAAATATCTAATCACTATTCACTTTTATCATGTCTTTGCTATACTGATAATAATAATAATTATTAATATAGTTTAAACTTTATATATTTCACAACAAAAATGAAACAAGTTTTTACAACAACAAATTCTAAGCGTACATGTTTTTATTGTATAAGCTTAGTGTAAAGTGTATAAACAAACTCACAGTCATGAGTCAATGTAAATGTGCTTTCAGAAATAATTAGACTAACATATTCAGGTAATCATATTTTAACCTGCCCCTGTATCGTAAGATATTGAAATTTATATGTAGATCTTCCATGGTGTAAATCTGTTACCAGATTTCTCAGACGCCTGTGCCGCTGGCAACTGAAGATATTTCATCAATAACCGGACCAATGGAAAGATTGCATATACAACTTATTCTATTCATATATATATTATTACGAGAAATTATACCATCTTATATTCATATCATAAGGTAAAATCCTTAGGACCTTTTGTTATCTAAGTAATTAAGATCTATACTAGAGGACCCCGTTGGAAATAAGCTGCCACCCAGCTTTCATGGGATATCCTAGGTTAAAGCTTAGACAAACAGATACATTGTATTTATAGTGCTCCAAAATTTGTGATATTAACGTTGATGTGATAATCTAAATACTGTGATAAATCTGTGATCATATGTGATATTTGTACCTGTATCTTGCTTTTACCGAATAAATATTATTATTATTATTATACAAACATCAAACGATTGACTGCTTCAGTGTGTTTACACTGCTAAACAAGTGAAAAACCATAATGAAGTTGTAAATAAATATTCCGGAACAAAAACAGATCGACAGCTGATTGATCAGGCCAAAGGCCGGTTTGTCTCGGTAGTACTGACATCTTTAGGGAATGGCCTTTCTGAAGTTTTGGATGTCAGTTCCACTAGACCATCCTTCTGAGTGCCTGTGAGAGGAGCTTTGGAGTCAGTGGTTGATTCCCATGCATGCAAACGATCGCGTATCACTCTCTGGTTGACAGGCAAAGCCAACGTGTCCGCCATCATTGGTAGGTTGTGTACAATTTACGAAATAGTGGTAATTTCAACGGAACGTATTCTATCTTATTTCTACCTCATATATTAATAATTACAAACAATTATGAATCAAAACAGAAAGAAAATATCAATCCGTATTACGTCAAAGCGTGAAAAAATACGAAAGATATATAAAATAAAAATATGATTGATACAAATTACGGAATGAGATTTGAAAGACATTGTATATTGTTGGCGGGAAATTTTACCTTTTTCTATTTTGAAATGGGTTTTTTTACGTAGAATTTGGATCCTTGGAGGGATTTTGTGAAAACAATTTTGTTTGAGGACATGGATAATTCATGTCTTCTAAACGTGTTTCGTCTGCTGTTAGAATAGGCAGATGCTTTATTTTTGCTCTGTTTGCATTGGGATCCGTACACGAAAAATACCGAAAGTCGATTTAAACCCCTAAAGCATATAGAATTACTCTGAGCACCTTAGTTTAGGTCTAAATATAGTTGCAAGTCCTCATGTTGGAGAGGTCACCCAGCAGGGTACCGGCGTGAACTCTAACCATCCTTTTAATAGGCCAGCCGTGTGCATAGTCGGAGCGATTTCAGAATTACTTATATTTAACATAAGAAAAAAATGTATGTCTTTGGATTCAAACTGATCATATTATAAAAGAATAAACATACGTTTTTCTATATTAGTTACTGTTTATCACGGGATTTTGATTCTGTCCTTTTGCAGTAAAAAATAATTGATATGGTTCATTTGACGCGTTACAATAATAAAAACAACACAATAAAATATCATTTCTGGTAATGGAAAGCTTAGGATGTAGAAGATATATAAGGATAGGTAAAGCTGGTATTGATCATTATCTCTTAGTCCTTTTGATGTTCTTTCAGACGTGTACCAAATTTCCTCCCAGTTTCTCCTATGACTGCTGACAATTTTGGCTCGGAATTTGATATACAACTCCTGTTTTTTTCTAGAATGTCTGTCTTGTCTTTGGGGTGCACAAGTAACTGTATGAGTGTTGTCAATGGTCTCATCGGGGTGCTGAAATGGTGTTTCTTTATCAATGCCGGGCAAAATATGAACAGAGACGAGGGGGACACCAGACGAGTCATCTGTTCAACACGACACTGACATAACGGGAAAGGGGACTAGCTCTACATCCCAACAGTAACATATTCGATACAGCGTCTCTACGCATTTTGTTGACAGGCGAAACTTTCCGGGTCGAGTGATATAAGAAATAAATAATACAAATCACTATCTTAGTCATAGCATTACAAAGGGACTAGTCAGTCTTCACACGTTGCGATACGTTAAATACGCACAGTCTTTGTGTATAAAGCAGAAATTTATATAACACATTACAAATGGTGTCCGTGGCCCTCCTGACAGGGAGTTATATAACATGGGTTTTGGAATTCGAGGGCGAAAACATTTCCAGGAATTACGCTCACTTTCACTCTCTGCACCTCTGGAAAACGATTTGATTAATTTTACTATGACATATCCCAGGGGTGTAGAGAGCGAAAGTGAGCGTAACCCCTGGATATCGAGGATGATTGTACATAGGATTACGGTAGTCTTTTAGCCTCGAGATAGAGGGAATTTCCCTTTAGCTCAGTGGTAGAGTGTCTGACTAGCAACCTGGCGATCCCCAGTGGAAGCATGTAGCGGAACTGGACTGGGTCGATCGTCGGCGACCAGATAGCTCAACTTGTAGAGCATCCATCTAGAGCTCGAAGGGTCCCGGGTTCGAACCCCGGTCTGGCCGTGCATTTTCCCTCTCCTGTTACATTACGCGCCTAACGAAATATACCCACAGAAGGTGGTAAAGGGTCTCGTGTGTCTTCGGGGTCGAATACTTTGTTAAAGGAGGGAGGAATGTAGCGGAACAGGACTGGGTCGATCGTCGGCGACCAGAGAGCGCAATTGGCAGAGCGCCCATCTAGAGTTCGGAGGGTCCGGGGTGAGAACCCCGGTCTGGCCGTGCCTTTTCCCTCTCCTGTTATATTTGGCGCCAAACGAAATATACCCACAGAAGGTGGTATAGGGTCTTGTGTTTCTTCGGGGTCGAATACTTTGTTAAAGGAGGGAGGTATGTAGCGGAACAGGACTGGGTCGATCGTCGGCGACCAGAACTCTCAATTGGTAGAGCGTTCATCTAGAGTTCGGAGGGTCCCGGGTTCAAACCCCAGTCTAGCCGTGCATGTTTCTTCTCTTGTTACAAGCACATTATTCTTTTTCCTGTTACACATGTATATGGGTTGAATACAGATGCCAGGAGTCAGCTTATCAGGAAGTAGAGTGTGAATCCCTTTGCACTTGATATATATATATACTTTGATATACAAAAGCCATGGTTGAGTGGCTCCAACATGTAAGTTTTTGCGCATACATATTGCGTCTAATATAAGTATGTGAGAGAACTTATAGCTGATTTGGGTGCATGGGTGAGTGTGTGTGCGCCTGCTCAGCACCTGTCATTTCCTCGTATCATTCGAAAGCCAGCCTGCTAAGGTATCACACCTTACATACATTCCCTGGTAACTTAGTGTGAGTGTATACACTTGTCTTCTACTATCTAAATGTTATATATAATTCATACTGTTGATCCGGTCATTGTGTATGAGTTATGTATTGATTATAAGTGTTATTGTCATGTATTGTGTAACCCATATCTCCTGGTTATGCCTAATATTTACAAGTAGCGGGAGGTGGTTATATATGAGAATTCATGAACGGTTGTTTGATTATTTATTTTTGGTTGGAAAACAGTTGATTCTAAGGCAGGATGGCATTGCCCCATGGTTGTATCTAAGGGAGGGGTCCTGACACTGGACCCCTCCTTATTTTAACAAATAACCTGAGTAATAGTTCTATTTGTGGCGGCCATTTTAGTTGTTGTCGTACAACCTATATTTATATGTGTAACACCCCACCTCTACCTCATATACACACATTTTCTTAAAACCATAATAATGCTAGAGTATTATAGCATAATTAAGGATCAAGTGTGAATGAAATAACCATGAAAACTCTCTCACTTGTATTAGTTAAACATCATTTCAGTTTCAAAATACGAATTCAAAACACATAAACAGAAACTGAAAAGAAATGATTCCTACAAAAGGACACACCATTAGCTCCGCCAAAATAAGTACCCAAACTAAGTGGGAAATGTATACACTCATGACATTGTTCAATTCTTTTCAGTCACTACAAATATAACTACAGCCTCTTCTGGTAGTTTTCATCAATTATCATCAATACCATTTCAGCTTTTCAAAAACCATGAACTTACTCAAAGGACTGAGACTATTCCTGGCGATAACGAACCTGGTTGTGCTACTGTGGCTACTTGTTCAACCATTCACGAAGTTCTACAACGAACCAATCGTTCCTCTGGGGTACCCAAAACCAAAAACGCTTTACATCGACAAGCAAAATCACTCAATACGAAATGTGTCATTTTCTATGAAAAGGAAGAAAGAAGATGGAATGGGAAATAAGATATTGTTTTTTAGGAAACCACAATTCTGGTTAAATGGCTTGATTGGTAAGAAATGGATACATCGCAGGTGTTCAGACATTGTCCAGTTCGGAATTGTGTTGTGACAAAGCGACGTCAGTACATGAATACTTGTTTGTTTGTTTGTTTGTTTGATTTTGTTTAACGTCCTATTAACAGCTAAGGTCATTTAAGGACGGCCTCCCCTGTGTGCAAGATGCATGCGTGTAGTGTTAGTGTGTGTATTTTGGGAGGCTGCGATATGTTCGTGTTTGTCTCCTTGTGATAGCGCGGAACTGATGCCGACTTTATAGTGCTACCTCACTGAAACATACTGCCGAAGACACCCAGCAGGACGCCCCACCCGGTCACATTATACTGACAACGGGCGAACCAGTCGTCCCACTCCTAATTTGCTGAGCGTTAAGCAGGAGTAGAAACTACCATTTTTAAAGACTTTGGTATGTCTCGGCCAGGGGACAGAACCCAAAGCCTTCCTCACAGGGGCGAACGCTCAACAAATGGCCAAAAGTGAGGCATTGTCAAGGGAGACATTAGGAAGAAGAAAGTTATTTAGAAAGGAGAGAAGAGATAAGGTCCCAAATTTAGTCGCCTCTTACGATCATGCAATTGGGGGCAGCAGGTACAATTCTTACGCCCTACCGGCAGGGTCACAGCCGATGCTGTTCTATTTAGAGCGCTTGCCGGGAGTTTAAAACAATGTGTGAAGAAAGAGAAACGTGGACAGGTCTGGATTTTATTCGACAACAAGCCGCCAACAAGATTTAGCCGTTATGGTAATTTAAATAAACGTTGTCACCAAAATTTGTTTAATTGGACGATTAGATATCGCCGAGACTCGGACTTCACGTTAGTGCACGGCCAGTTTTCAAAAGCCCCCTCCCCCTACAATGAAAGTGCAATAAATTTGATACTTAAAGCCAAGACAAAAACAGCAGTAGGCTTCATCAGTCGTTGTCCTATTCAATCTCGCAGGAAGGATTATATAACCCAACTCCGCAAATACGGTATTGACGTTGACATATACGGACAGTGTGGAACTCTTCATTGTGATTCAGGACTAGACCATTCAGGTGAAGTTTTGATGGCATGGAACTTAACGCCGGTTGTGGGGATGAAAGGAGACTGCTTTGATGTGCTTGACAGTCAGTACAAATTTTATTTATCTTTTTGAGAATAGTTTATGCGATGACTACGTTACAGAAAAGTCACTTAGCTTGCGTTACGTCACAACATTGTTCCAGTTATTAGGGATGTGTCAAATCATACCTTGTACCATCCTCCAAATTCTTACTTGGATACAAAAGACTTTGAAAACATCAAGTTACTAGCAGACCGTATGATAAAAATGAGCAGCAATTTAAATGACTACAAACAATATTTAAAATGAAAAAAAAACATTTCTCCCCAGAAACAATGGGCGGAGTTGTACAGTAAATCTTTTGTGATATTTGTAAACGTCTAAACAACCAACA